CCCATTCTCTTCTCTCTCTTTTTTACATCATTTGGGATTTTTTTCTCGACTGTGGATTTACTGTCCCTGCATCTGGGCTGTCATCTGGGCGTTGTGCTCCTGGAAGCGCTCGCTGAGGCGCTGCTGGGAGAACATCTGCTTCTGGATGCAGCGGGTGATGCAGCCGGTCTCGCGGGAGGAGAGGGACTTTGAGGTGAAGTCGTCGATGCACGAGGTGAAGCAGTGGTCGACGAGGTTGCCAAAGAGCTGTAAAAAGGGGGGGAAAGGATTAGCCACAGGGTCTTGGGAGTCTTATCGCTTTTTCGAACAGCGACCGAAGGAGGAAAGAAACATGGGAGACGGAGGAACGGATTGTTTCGTTTTTGTTTTTTTTGTGAATGGCGGAACGGGAGGTTGAAGAGAGAAACGTACGTTCATGAACTCCTTGACCTGGCGCTTCTGAAGTCTCTGCTGGAGCTGGGCCTCCTCGGTCTTGGTAAGGCTGGTGATAGAGAATTGCGCGTTAGTCGCTATGTCTGATCTCTATGTTCCTCTAGTACTTCCAGGGGATTATTCAAGGGGGGTAAAGCTTACGCGTCCATTTTGAGATGTGATTGATCTGATGAACTCGTAAAGTTGACAGGGTATATGCGAGGCCGGGCGGTACGTGATGGAAGTTGTGGTTGATTCCGGGGGCGATGACGATGGTTGAAATTTCTTTGGTTAAAGCACTTCCTCAGCAGAGCAGCGCTGCGCCGAACGAGATGGCAGGCAAGCTTGCCTTACCCCCGATCAGCGCTGGCCAATCAGATCTCTAAAAATCGGACAGCGCTGGAGCTCCGATAACGATAAGAACCTATCGGGATTTCGTTTGGAGCTTCACCTCGGATAGATACATAGACTTCGATGGGAATTCCGATGCGCGAGAGTCACTGCCTTTATCTGGGAGACTTTGCTCTACTTTGAATGCCGAGCCGATATTGGTTGTCATCCGGCACTGGCGAGGGCTCTCTTCACAGCTTTGAAGCGTTGACCTCGGCCGTCAAATTCAAAAGACCAATCTTGATTCGAGATTTCGGAGGTATCGGGTTTGTTTATTTCTTTCAAGACACAGCAAACACCTTGGACGAGAAATTGGTTCCAATTATATCAAAAAATTCTTAAATGATGTGTTTAAATTATCCTGACGTGGACAAAACGCACGTCGCCCTATATCCAATCCCAGAGCGACCGAATCCATGACGTCTCGCCAGGGTATCAAGCCTATATGTACATAGGTTCAGAAGAATAGAAGACATTACCATTTCACGTTGAGTCCGCTGGGTATCCAAGGTTCAAAAAAAGGCCGGGCCGCATACAATGATGCGTCCCGGCAGCCGAAAGCCATAAAGGGGGGAGCACGCGGAGAAGGCCACAACAGAGACCAAAACCCCCTTACATGACGATACAGCAAGCCTTCTCCAGCTTCTTGAGAATCTTGACGACCAAGTCGCCAGTCTCGTCCTGGTTTTGCTGCTGGTTCTGGCCGCCGTGGTGCTGCTGTTGTCCACCGTGGGTCTGCCCGCCGTGCTGCTGGTTCTGACCGCCATGGTGCTGTTGCTGGCCGCCATGATGCTGCTGCTGGCCGCCTCCGTGGTGTTGCTGTCCACCACCAGTGTGAGGCGGCGGCGGCATCGTTGCATCCCCGCCCTGGAGGTTGATGTAGATCCGGCCGGCGTTCTCCTCGGTCGAGTACTTGAGCCCCATCTCGCGGCAAATGGCCTCGATCCTCGGCTTCAATTTCTGCACGTGGCCCGTCGAGTGGTTTCCCTTGCCGACGATGGCGTGCAAGTGTTCCTGGCCCCGCGCCCGGTCGGCGCGGATGCGCTCCTCGAGGATGCGCTCCGCCTCCTCGACGTACTGCCCGTGCAGATCGACGCAGCTGCCCGTCACACGGCCGGCGGCGTTGTTCTCCCGGAAGATAAACTCGGACGCCTGGCGGTTGTAGTCCTCCATCTTTTGCGCGTGGCGCTTGCCCTCGTTCGAGAGCTCCTTGGCGGCCGCGCCATCGCCCGACTGGTAGGCTTGTTGAGACTGGAGAGCATCGAGGGTTGGTGTTAGTCTTGCGGCATCACACAAAACTCAAAACCACGTGTTTCGGACAAGGCTTCGGCTTGGGCTTAGGCTTAGGCTGGGGCCACTTACGCGCTCAAAGGCCTGATTGCGTTTGTTGGCTTCCTCGCGGGCGAGGTCACGGAGGCGATCGTACTCGCGCTCCGTATCGTCGTCGTCGTTGTCGGCGTGGCTGAAGGCTGCAAAATTTATGCTCGTGTCAGCGCGCGTCCGGGCCCCAGATGTCGAGCAGCAGCATTGTATTGATCCGGGCCTGTTTGTGGCGGTCTCGGATTTCAAGCCATGGCTCCAGGAGGATTCGAAAACGAAACATGGCGAAGATGCTTACCGCGGCCGCCCAGGCGGTTCATAGGGATAGACATGTTTGCCCGTTTGCGCGCTCAATTGACTTCAAGACGCTGTCCGTGGTGGAATTGGCAGAGGAATGAAGAAGAATAATGCGGTCGCGAGCAAAACAAGCTTCAAGTTCGCGTCCAAGATGCGGGCAGAGAGGTTGGTATGACGGCGCTAAGCAAGCTTGTTTTTCGGTGCCGGCAACGTAATTGCGGGGCTCTGCTCCGGCCGATGACGCTTGTGCTGGCCGGTCCGGCTTCCGTCTCTGGCTGCCCGGTGCAGTACGGTTCTGCCATACGACCGGTTCCATGATGGGCGAACCCATTCGCCCCATCTTGGTCTATCAGTCTAGGTTCCATTCCTATGCTGTGTGGCTGTGTCTTCTGTGTCCAGAACTCTGGGGACGCACAAGCTCTCCTCAAGTGACTTGTGTGATCTACAGGGGCAGAAGCTATGCTTGGACATCGTTCTAACTCTTCAGGCGGCTGCGAACGCCACAGGCATCGCTTGAACCCGTACTCTGGTTGGTGGCGCTTTACCGTATGTTCCGCGGTTTCTGTATGTCTCCCCAAGGTAGAATGATATCCTTCGTTTCCCAACTGTCCTAATTCAAATCATCCGCATAACAGTATTCGTCTAGAGCACACAGCGGAGAGGCTTCGTTCCACAGCTTTCCGGATCCATGAGGATCTAGTCCAGTCCGAAACAAAACTCGAACAGCCGGAGTGGAGGACGATATCCACGGTGGCCAACCAAGGAGCGCTGGAGTCATGGATTGGACGCCAGCTCGTCTGTATGATGTGCCAGATGGTGGTTACACAAGAGGCAGGCTCAGGGGCGGAAAGCTTCGGTGGGCCCTTCTAGAACACCACGTTCTCTTTTTTCTTCTTCGTTTTTCTCCTTTCCGGATGCTTCAGCATCTACTGTGTAATACTCCATAACAGGAGAAACCCAATCGTCAGTATCCAAGGTCAAAGCACACGCCGTCCGAACTAGCCGACCAAAGTCCAGATGGAATAATGACGATTTTCCGCGAAAGGTAACCTTCACTAGGGGGAGTCTTCAGGGGAACAGCAGATGATCGTAAGAGGGTGCCGCTCATTACTACACGGACCTTGCAGAGCACCATCTTCGTACCTGCATGACATGCAAGAGGACGACGCGCAGGGAACGCTCCATCTGCCAACTTTTTAGTGCGCGTTCACCAACTATACGCACTGCTATTCGTCCACTCATGGAGTTGCACTGGGTCAGTGGGCGGCAGAGGCAAATGGGCAAGACGACCTTGACGACGAAGACGGTGTGAGTGGATGGGACCGGGCCTCGGAAACGAAGAGAGCCTCCACAATTCTGGGTCCTCTTCAATTAAAAAGAGCCCTCTCGTGATCCCCCGTGGAACGACTTTTTGCAACTCCACAGATTTGCCTCTTCAGGCGTGCGATGACTACGTACTATGAGCCCCCAGCCTCTGCCAATGGCTTGGATGGATCCCGCTTTGCTTCGAGGAAAAGGCAGCTCGTCTGCCATGTGGCCTCCCTGTACCAGGCGGGAATAGTTTCTCTGGTAGTTTCCGACCGGCTGCCTGCAATGCATCTAGTGAATGTGCGAAATTACCTTATTTCGGATGCGAGATGTCTAGGTACGCCGGCTTGTCAAATGCTTCTATTGGTTCCCTTTTGAGAGCCGCTTTAGACGGCGTTCTTGTCAAAGTCTCTCGGACGGCGGCTGCTAAAGCCTTGGTTTGCGAAAGCAGATGTCCCTCATCTGGCTTGTCGATCTGGAGCTGCTTCCCCACCAGCACACTGTAGAGAGTCTCGCCTTTGAGACGTGCCATCGAGTGAGACCTGAGAGGCAAGAAGTCTGGACTCCGAATTACAACAAATGAGGGGCCAGAGCAAGGTCTATCCATTGCATGAAATACTGAGAATCCACTTCAGACCGTATTTTCGACAGTGAGGATGGTGTTACCTGGTACGGATACCGCATGGTAGGGGCACATTGTCGATAGCCCCGTCGTGCCCCCCAGAAAACCGTCCAAAATTTGGTGATGATCGACAAGTCCAAACAGGTTCGGGAAGTGCACGCCTGCAGGTCAACGGAATGGAACCCCGAGATCACTGTCCGATCTTTCTGTGCCCGCCTCGAGGGGGCTCCGACCGCCATCGTATTATCGTAACGCAGATGAGATTTACAACAGCCTGACAGTGTTAATGTATACAGTTACCAGCAAGGGTGGGTGATATTTTGCCCTTGCATGGTCGGCTAAGATGGCTTGGTGTTTCAAGGCAGCTAAAATGGTGGGGTCTAACCGTCCCAAACTCCAGGCTTTGGCTCTCATGGCACTGAGCGGTAAATCAAGAGATACCTACCCTCTCCAATGTGTCAACGCGTACGTTGACTTCGATGTGAAAGACGTGATAATCTGTGCGCCCTGTAAGGGTTTAGACGTAACGACGAAGCGCCGAATGCCTTGGGCTTCAGACGGTTCTCCCCGGTGAGCCTGCGAAGTGGATACCGCTTCTAGTCTGTTTGCTCTGTTGTTTGCTTTCCAGAGAAGTAAGTTTGCATGTTTTAACTCAGCCGACTAAGAGGGTGGCTCCGGCAGTATCGCAAGTCGGAGCGCCCATTTCGATATCGTGACTTGTGGTTAATGTGGTGCTTAGCTCTCGATACATGATCATGTTCGTGTGGCGTAATTATTGGCTGGCTGCAATGATTGCCCTACAAGTACCATTTCCAAGATCTAAGCCGTCGAGGCGCTCTGGCAGCCAATCAATGCAACAGGACCGAGTCAGTATGAACGATGTCTCTCTTTGAGCTTCACAGCTTCGTCTATTGCCGAGCAGCTTGGGTCGGTGGCTTTATTAGTGCAAAGCCTGCTTTGCTCGATGCTCAGACACGGCCGACCGATTCTTTGAACAGACATCGAGGTCGACTTTTCGGGTTTATAAAGCCCGTGCGTCAATGGGGATCTGGGTACTCCGTACCGGAACAGATTATCGCATTCAGACGTAGATCTTGTTTACTGGCAGGATTTTGTTAGTACTAGCTTTTGATCCGCCGATGGTACCATGTGCAAGCAGAATCGTGTGCAGCGGTAGCCAGTACTGAACACTGAACTCATATGCAGGTGAATCGCCTTGGCGGCAGCTTGCAGCAAAGTAGCAAGCGCCCGAGGGCAGACGCGAAGGAGTACGTGGACTAGTAAAAAGCAAACATCTCGGACTGAGTCGGAGGCCCAAAGATGTTGGAAACTCGGAAATAGTGAAATGACTACTTGCCGCAAACAATGCTGTTATTGTCGACCAGTTCTTTGATGTTGGGTTTGGGTAGAGGAATAGTCGACATAGAGCCTTGTCTTTGCGGGATGACAGCTCCTAATGTGAGCCGGCTAGAATATCATTCAGATAGTCAAGATCCAACCTGGGCTTTCGAACAGTTGATCGAGGCATTGGACGCCACTGCCCCTGATGATAGGATTTGTATGTGTCTAAGTATATTTTGCTTACGCTTTTCCCATTATGCTAGCTTCTTGCCTCTGGAGACTTTGCGCCACGCACACAAGAGAGAATTGCTAAGTGAGATGATATTTGAAGCAAACACATGGGCCAGGGCAAGCAAGCGGGCTTTTTTTGATCATATCGCTCTTTGATCAAAAGGATCTTTCAATGTGTCCTAGGCGACGATCTCGTTGAGAGTAGTTGGCCAACACTGTCCAATTATCGATAGACGGCGTGTGGTATACCGCATAAAAGAGGTGGAGCGGCCAAACATTTTAAGTGGACGCAAGGGTGGACAAGAAGACGGGATCTCTCGCGATAATCTGATATCACGGCAATCCGAGATTCCGCTGCCTGCCCCAATAAGCGCAAGGACGATCTCAGGACGAGACTATGCATACGGTTTCCGGGTCTGAAGGTAATATCGTTGACGCCGAATGTGGTGGCAGAGACGCTTGTACGAGCTAGAATGGTGATGAGGAGAGTAGCCGCCATGGCCGTGGGACCGTAGCTCCGATGCGGCCCCGGTTCTTCCTAATGGATGAAAGAGAACTAGAGCGATGGACCGGCCCATTGGCGTCTGGCTCTTTTTTTGAGTTGACAGCATGAGTTCCCACTTTGGGGTAGAAAAGAAAGGGAATGCTACTGGTCTCCATGTACTTTAGGCCTGTTTTGAGAGAAAGCTGCCTTTGAGCATGCGGGTTCTTTGTCCCACCTCAACATCCATGGTCTGTCTTCTGAAGCAAGGTCGAGGCAGTGCAGATTGCAGAAGCGTTTGCGGGCGAATCAAAAGGTGACGGCCAAGTGTATGGAGAGTTTGGGTCTTTTGCTTGTTTGTCTGGTAAGTGTGCAATGCAGTTTGGCGTCCAACTAACACTAAGATCCAGATCTGTGCATACCAACGAGTATGTAGGGTGAAGGCCTGGCAAATACGGAGTACCCGCACTCCATGATGGGTGGCCACCGTAATGAACGAGGCCGTGGTGGTGGGTAGATCTTGTGGAGGACCTGAAGGTGTGGATAAAACCCTGCCCACGGCAACAACTTCGTTCACCTCCTTGCCCTGAAAGGCGGCTGACGAGGACAGTAGTGTTTCGAGAATTGCAATGGAAGTTTTGATGGAAGGACGTTACTCGAATTCCATTGTTCCATAACCCATCCATGTTGGGTAGGTTGTGGATGGGTGGATCTCTCGTCTGCTTGGCCGCGGCGGATGGTCTGGCGTTGCTTGCAGCTGCAGGCTATGGTGCAGATGGTTGCGAAAAAGGAAGCGTGCAGATTTTCTTCTTCCTGGTTGGGACTGAATCTGAACTGAGCCCGCCCGCGGTCCCCCCTCCCCGACCGACTCCCGAGTCCTCCACATCCGCAGATGCTACTGCCGGTCGGCAGAGGATGGGTTGCCGTTCGACGCTTACATAGTTCACAGATTGCACCCGTAGGAATCATCATGATGTTGTCAAGTCGCTGTAGACCGCGAACCGTCAATTTGCTAAATGGACGTCAGCTCAAGATACTATGTCAAAGTTCCGGTTCGTATTGGCATTGGCTCGTGCTTCTCACCCAATTCATTGTTCCTAGACCAGTCACCAAAGGTGGCTTGATCCATATTAGCTACCACACAGCAACAGATTGTATCCGTAGCGGTAGTCTAGGAGAGACATGGAGTCCCATTGCAGTTAGCGGATTCGTACCCGGCCGAAGGAAGAGCTCACACAGGGCCCAGAGAGGCCATCTCCGTGCCTGGTCTATGGTCAGTGGTAGCGCGAGGAAATTTTACATTAGTCAGGGCGGCGAACAAGGACTTTTCAGACCAGTCAGGCCAGGCAGACCAGTGCGAGACCCCTTTCCCCTGTTCTTTTCCCGCCCAGGGACGCCAGGGACTCCAGGGGACTTCGGCTTCGTTGCGGGCAACCTCTGGCTGGATGAGACCTCGCCGAGCTCTTCTCCACTGGCTATTGGCCCGGCCGCGGTGATTTCAACGTTGCAAAGGCCTGGGTGCGGATCCACGCCCGCTGGAAGACACTCCTGGTCATCGTCTCCATCCAGGTCTAGCAGGTTGTCGTCGATTGGTCGGCGAGGTCTTCGTCAGTCTGGCCGTGTGTTTCTGACACTTGCACAGGAGCAGAGCAAAGGTAGTGTAGGTACGGAGTATGCGTAGGTGTAGGCGCGTAAGGCATAGGTAGGTTGTGGACGGTACAAAGCATCCATCTCATCGGCTTCCCGATCTGCGGTGCCTCTAACCGCATCTCTCAGTGTCAGCTCGGGGCGAGAAGACGGCGCTGAACATCGACGTTAGCTTGGTTCAGGAAAGGAAGAGACAGGCGATGACAGGACAACCTAAGACAATAGCGACCGGGGAGGCCAGACGAGAAACTGGGGCTAAATGCATCGAGAAGTACGTACATGCCCTTATGTAAGGCGATATATCACATAAAGCAGGTACAGGTGGATACGTACCGGGCCGCACCAGAGACAGTAGCACCAAAACCAAGGCCAGGACATGTACCTTGTCCGTGCTTCTGGAACTCCCAGCCCCTGTTGGCCCCTGCACTATAGCCAGAGGGACGCGCCGTACGGACAGGTACCTACTGGAAGGTAGCTGGATATTCGCGTCCGGAGCATTGCCCACATCGTACCTATCTATGCTCGTGACCTTGATCTCTGAAGCTTTTCTTATGTATTGCTTGCGAAAGCCATGGAAATTATCGTACTTTCATAGTGTGTATATACATATGCGAAATGCAAATGGCTGAAATAAGTGCGAGCTGGTGATGAGTTCAAGTCAAGTGAGCCCGAGTTTGAGGTGTGAAGTGAAGTGAGGTGCGTTGCCGCGCACTGGCCACGGGAAGGAGCCTCCAGAGTCCAGCGTCCCCCACCAGGCTGCTTCAGTGTAGAGGACGCCCGGCGATGGCCCCCAAAAAGCCCCTAGTCTTGCTGCCAACTCCTCCATCATGGCCAGGTACAGCCAGTCGGGGCTGTCAATCTGAAGTCCAAAAGAACGGGACGCCTCATATCGTTACAGGTGCAGCGTACATACATAGACAGACACCAGCCTGGTAGGAAACCCCGTGGACCACGTCTGGCACCACAGGCTGGTGCCACTGGTTCCCTCCTTCCCCCCCCGTGCCCTCCCCCATGCGGCGTGCCTCACCCCCTCCTCATTGTCCACCAAGTTGGAAAGACCGCCAATTCGCCATTTCCTCGCCTCCGCCGTGCCTCTTTACGTCTTTTTCACACAGTGTACTTTTATCCCCGTACCTCGCCCCGAAGCGCATTGTCCGCCCCGGCGACGACTGCTGCCCACTCTTTTTCTCCCACTATCCTCTGGTTCCTCGCAGCACCTTCGCCGCCATCCTTGCTCATAACTCCTCCACCCTTGCCCTTTCCCATCTCTCCTCTCCACATTAGAGGCACCTCCCAACCCATTCCTCTCTTTTCTCTCTCCCTCTCCTGCTCCTGGTCTCCCAATCCTGTCGCGACCATCCCATCCTCCCACCGTCCGCCCAACGGCTCGTGTTTTCTTTTCCTGTTTGCTGCGTCTTTCGACGACTCATCGTCAATTGAGTGATTCCATCATCAATCCAACGACCAAGAGGTGAGTTTCATCCAACTTTTCCTACCGCATGCAGGCGAGAGAGAGAGAGAGAGAGACACGCACCACGAATCTTCCAACTTGCCGGCGCCGACATAGAGCCACTGGGAATTGAGAAAGCGAAACGAACGAGACACGCAAAAGAGACAGCCTAGAAAGGAGAAACACCTCCACCTGCCCGCTCGCTCGATGGTAGCATCCTCCCTCGACCTTTCGACTCTTCGTCTCTTATCCGCCATCGCCTGGATCAACTTCGCATTCCAGCCCGTCGCCCCCAAACAATTCGACCCGTCTCTCTCGTTTGCCCGTCGGCATCACATCCACCTGCGACGTGGTTGGCTAACAAGCTTTGCTTCTTTCAGGTCTCCAACGCGCAACGCCCAATTCTTTACTGAATCCCCAATTCCCTTTAATCCCATCAATTTTATTCTACCAGTCGTCGTTTCCAACGACACCAAGCCGCCAAAATGGGTTGCGGAATGAGCACGGAGGACAAGGAGGGCAAGGCCCGCAATGAGGAGATCGAGAATCAGCTGAAGAGGGATAAGATGATGCAGCGCAACGAGATCAAGATGCTTCTTCTGGGTAA